AAAACAATAAATGTATGAGATGAGAGATACATGACCCTACTGATTTGATTATTCCATAAGATATACATATACAAATATTGTAGTATACCTTATAAATATGTATAATTATTTCAAATAAATTATCTGTAATGTTAATATTATAGTCAAGAAAATGTGAAATGGAGAAAGTAATTGTGTTACTTTTCTGTCATTGCTGAGACAAAATAACTGACATATAAAGTTAAAAGGGAAAAGGCTTATTTAGCTTGTAATTTTGAGATTTTCATCCATAATGTTGGTGCAGGTTGGCATGGCACAGGGACAACCATCCATGGTAGTGGAAGATAGCAAAAGCAATAGAAGCAAAAGATAAAAACAAACTTCTTTCTCTCTCTTACATTGTTTGCAGGTTACTTGCCGTAGGGCAAGTGTCACACTCGTACTGCCAATCTCAGCACTAGATAAGGAATCAGTCAGAATCTCTAGAATCAGCCTTCTCTGAACACCCCAACTCCCAACCCTGAATGACCATGTTAGGCTTTCATGACATTTATGCACAAACCATGACAGCAATGAATATAAAGAAGATAGCAAAGAAAAGCCAATAACATGTGATAGGTGATTTTATGCCTTAGCTTCCCTGGGCCACTGGGTCATGACAATCAAGTGTTAGTCATGGTGTGCTCCTGAGGTTCTCTTGAAAGAGATTAGCAGTGTCTTGCATAATATAGGTCTCATCAATCTTTTGAATCCTCAGTAGAACAAAAGACTACTTTAGCCCAAGTACAACAGGTATTTTTCAGAAAATGGTTTTTAAACTCAAACTGAAGTCACAGAATCAAAATGTGTGTGTGTGTGTGTGTGTGTCTCCATAGTGGCAGCTTGTATTCCTCAACTTTTCATTGTGCTGGCCAATTTTACATAATTTGGAAAATCTAGCCACGACAATCACATAGTCAGCTTTCTGTCACTGTGACAAATTATATCAGATAATCTACTGGAAGGATATCTATTTGCTTGCTGTCTTAATTACTTTTTACTTGTTTCTGGGACAAATACCCAACATTCAAAATGAAGGAAGGAAGGGTCTATTTAGCTTACAGTTACTGGAGGGTTCAGTCCATATTCCGCTGGCCCCAAGGAAAATGACAGCAGTTCTTGCGGCAGAAAACAAGGAAGAGCAGAGGAGGAGCAGCAGCTATAGTGGCGTCCATCAAGCCTCTCTCTTCCTTCTATGCTGACTGTGAAGACCGGCGCTCCACGGCAAAGATCGGAGCTCCTCCAAAGTAGCACGGCTGCTAAGATCAAGCTCCTCTAAAGACTGAGACTTCTCCACAGAAGAGGGACGAGGCAGCAGGAAGCCTTTCTGAATTCCTGGGCCCTGCCCACCTGCAGGGCTAGGTTCCCAGGTTGAGAACTGCCATAGCTGATTCAGCCAAGTTGACACAATGTGTCAACTAACACACTTGCAGTTTCAGAGTTTTCAGTCCTTGTTCACCAGCTGCATTGATGCTGGCTCTGCTGAGGCAGAAAACAAGGAGTCTGGGCTTGATGGAGCAAAGCTGCACAGCTCATGGTTGCCAGGAGGAAAAGAAAGAGATGGGTTAGATGGCAGAGAACAAAGCAGCATGCCTTGCATGACCTAGTTCTCCAGTTAGGTCTACATCCAGTAAACTTTTCTGTCTCATAATAATACCAACAACTGGGGGCAAAGCTTTCAACACATGAACTTTTAGGGGACATTTGAGATGCAAACTCTGACACCTGGAACAGTTCCTTACAATAAATCCTTTTCTGTTATGTACACATCCTCTCAATTCTATTTCTCTGAAGAGCATTGCTGCAGTAAAAACGGTTAATAATAGTAATTCAAGAAAATTAAAATTGTCATCAAATACTCCTGAAAATATTCCAAGTTATTAAAAAATAAAACTTTAATTGAAAGAGGTAATTTGAATTTTTAAATTTCTAAGAAGTGCAGCATCTTCCTCTGTGGTCCCATAATCTCCTTGATCAGTAAATTTGGGACACAACTAAGTTATAGGATGTTACAGTACAGGTTCTCTTATGTCCTGAGTCTAACTGACCTTGAAATGCTAGGGCTAAAATGTTGGCTGTCCTTGCAGACCTTGTTTTTCTCTAATTTTTGGTCTGCAAGCTTAAGTTGTTAACTCTCCAGAAGAGAGGAAAGTGATCAATGATGGAGACTGCCTAAGGAGTCACATAGTGAGAAAACTTTCTCTCGGTCTTACACAGAGAGCAAATGGGTCAAGCAATGGCCATGATTCATCCGCATGGCTGACACTGACAAAGGATCTACAAACTGTAGTACAGGGTTCCTGGGTAAATCCTGGGGGGATTTGACTGACCTTGTCAGATAGAGAAGTTATATTTCGTGTTATATAGGTCTTACTCTATCTTGGTCTTAACCATCCAGCAGAAAAGTATAAAAGCGAAATATAAAAAGTAAATCCATATTAATGTGCTGCTCTGTGAAAGGTTCAAGTCAGCAACTTCTGACATTGCCAGTCCTACTGATAACCCTCTGCTGTTATGGAGTACTGGACTATATTGGGTTATTTTGCTGAATTCACACACCTACAATATTTAAATGGCAATGGAATACCCTTCTCTGACAAAACTAAACAGAAAAGGGGATATAAATGAAGGACCATTTTGTATCTATATATACAAATAGGATAGATAGACAGCTACTTTCTCTTAATTCAATGAGAAGAAAGATTTGTACTAATAGTGTTTGGACAGGATATCATGTCTACATCTTGTGCTATGGATAACCACTATGAAGACAACAATATACAATGTATTAATTATTGAAACTGTCCTACTAATTGGTTTTGAAACTGTCTCATTACTATTTGTTTCTTAATAAAATGAAAGAAGTGCAGCATCAGAGCTGCCAACAATAAAGTATATTCAGATAGTAGTTTTTGTATTTTATAAATAATATCAATTGATCACGTGCATTTAAGTCTTGAAAATATCAATCAAAAAGACAGATTTTGTCCTTTGCTATAGTGAAATTCAACAGAATATGTCAAATTCCTGTGGATCTTTAGCTTGTAAAATTATCAACAAATGTAACACGTTAACATTATTGTGTAAAATAATATTTTTTAGGAATTCTGTTACTACTGAAAATCTATGGCAAATTTGTTTAAATGAGCATGCCCAAAGCTGAATTGAAATGTATAATTTAACAGACATATGTAGGAAGCTATAGGACCTATCAATGTTTCAGAAAAATCATTTGGGATAATTCCACACTAATCCATGTTAAAAAATAGAAATAGAAATCTTCCTTGATCTAATAGAGAGAGGATTTGGGAAAATTTATAGCTGCCATCGTGAATGTAAATCACTGGATGTTTTGCCTCTGCTATGCTTACATGAGTATGTACCACATCATTAATTGTAAATGTCTGTCCCCAAATAAGATCTTATAAGAATATCTGGCCTTTGGAAGGTAATTAGATCAACTCAGGAAGATTCTCTCATACTGAAATTAATGCCCTATTAAAAGAGTGGGGAGAAAGATTCTTTATATCTGTTCTCCATTCAAGGATAAGACATCTTTTTCAAACCAGGAAGAATTTAGATCTACTAGGACCTTCCCGAACCTTCTAGCACTCAGATCTATGAGAAAGAAATGTATGTTGTCCAAGCCACCCAGTCCATGTGTATTTGTTAATAACAGCCCAACCAACTATAAGAATCTCTGGCTGTGAACCAGGAAAGGATGACTTCCATTTCAACTTCCACTCAACATTGTACTGGAGATTTTAAGCACAAAAAGTAAAAGAATAATAATGAAAGACATACACTTTCAACATAGGCAACCCTCCTTTTTAGATATTCAACATAATCATTAAAGAAGTGCAAATGATTTTCTTAATATAGATCAATAAGAATGAATAAGATAAAACTGGAACAATAGGAACTCTAATTCTTGTTCTAAATGCAAATAATCAAACCACTTTGAAGAGAAGTTTGACCCTTTGTATTCTTTTACACACCTGCAGCAATCATATGACTGGTATATTCTGAGTATTTTTCAAAAGCAAAGAAACCCTGTCATTGCATATGCACCTGTATTTGGATAGTCAGAGCAACTTAGTTTTTAAGTGCTGACATGTGTAAAAGTCCAACTGACATCAATAGGTGAAAATTGATTAAGCTAGGATGAACTCTAAAATAGTACAATACTTGGCAATAAAAATAAATGAACTATGAATAAGCCCAATAACATGAAAAATTGATGAGTGAAAATGGCCATATATAAAATAATAAGTATCATATAGCTTCATTTATATGGTTCTAGACCAGATTATTCTTACTAATAGTGAGAAGAAGATGACCACAGGTTGCTTAAACTGTGTGACCTATTGGGAGAGTATGATGAGAACATTCATCATCTTGATTATAGTAATAGTTGCACAAGTGTGTATATTCTTCACAAGTTATTAAGTATATGTTCAAAGTGAAAGCATTTAGTTGAATGTGGAACACATTAAGCTAATCTAAAGATGTAAAAGTACAAATTATGGACCACATTTAGGATAAAATTGAATGAAGTTTGCTTGAAATAAAAGTTAGGGATAGTGTCCTAGAAGGTACACTGGAAATTTTTTGAGAGGAAGGAAATATAAAATTATACCTCATTTCAATAACTTTTGGGATAATGACAAATGTAACATATATAGCATGGGCTGACAATGTAACTCACTGGTAGAGTGTATGAGAGATCTTGGGTTCGTTCGCCAACATCAGAAATAAAAGGGAAAAACTTAACTGAACCTTTTCTAAGGATTCTCTTTTGCTTACTTAATAAATATGCATCCATCTTTTTACATTTATATTGTCTTCATATTTATGCATACGTATTTGTTCATGTACATCTAAGTATTCTATTTCTATTCTGCTTAGAGATCCATTAATATATAACACATGATATTGTTATAATTCTGAAAATGTTTTTATTCATGTTCTTTGTCTCATAGAAACAATCGTGGGGTGCACTCTTGCCAAGGACTCTGAAAATACAAATCATTATGGATAAAGCCTTGGTATGTGTTATTGATATATTTCATTGTTATTCAGTTTGTGTTTATTTTTTTTTATTTATTTGAGAGAGAGAGAGAGAGAGAGAGAGAGAGAGAGAGAGAGAGAG